CCATAAAATCAGAAAAATACCAGGCGCCCCAGTTACAATTATGGTCTTAAGAGGGTTAAGATATATCCATTCTTTATACAACTTCTTCTTTTCAGTTTGTGCTTTTACCATCATGACACCAAAAACTCATTCAACTATCAGGTGTTTATTAATATTTCCAGATTTTTTGTACAATGGGGTGATTAACATGATTATTAATATTAAAAAAATAATAAGCAATCAAAATCTAAGACCCTTCTCCTGGCACTGATTGGTTGTTACTGACAAAGTAGTGTATTTGTGCACATGACCACCGCATCATTGGCAGAATGCAGAGGTGCTCAATACTTTTTTCCATACTGTCACGAATAATCTTAACATATATGTAAAAACAATATTTTTTCATAAGTGTTATATACTGCAGCTTTAATACCACACCTCCATCTTCAAATAAGGAAGTTAGCTTAATGGTGAGCTACAGGCACACTGGGATCTGTTAGCAACCTGCCAGTGTGCTGTAGCGCATTATCTGCTTTGGCTAAAAATCATTTATTCAACTCCTTTTCATTGAGCAGACTGAACATTACCCTGAAGGCAGCAATGCGTGATTATCAATCTCTGGGTAACAATCAAATAACAGGGCTCTCTGCACCTGCACGGCTGTATCTCCATATGCCGCTCTTGTAACAGGTAACAGCCAAAGTAAGCATTGATCCTCACGACCAGCTCATGCAACGCCCAAGCTAAATCATGCACAAGATCCAGAAACAAGCCACAATGGTGGGTTTTGTGGAGCCGCCGGCTAAATGTGGTAAAGCCTAATTAGTGCTAGTATGTAACAGAGTCCACGGACTGTGTTCTGAGGGATGCCACGAGCACAAGCAGCGGTCCCTTATGTTATGCTAAGTAGAACTCCAGAGTATCATTATCATTCACAGTCTACTTGCCTGCAGACTCATTTATGCTTACATGTCACTTTGCTTCCATACAGTCTAATCAGCTGATTAACACACACAAATGCAGATCCACAGACACAATGAGCACTTTAAAGGTTACTGTCCCTATCACGAGGGCTCAAAGAAGATCACCCCGCCGCATGGGGTTATGCTTATTAAAATAAACAGGAAATGGAAATTAATAGTAATGCATTGCTTTCTATTCTTCTTTTTAGCAAAGGAAGATTGCTTGTGGCTTTTCATCAAAAAAAGGGACATAAGCCCAACTACAAGCCCCATTTCTCATTACATTAGAATCAATGCATTTGTATTGAGCCTCGTTTACTCTTACACCTCTAAATAAAATCCAGTGGAATGAGTTGCCTCAAGTGGCCATATTTTTTAAACAGAGTCCAACTGTGTTTAGTGTAATCACATTATAAACACTGTTGTTTTGTCGAGGTCTCAGAGGGTCACAATAGAAAACATGAGTAGGCAACCGAGGAGCACAACAGACAGACGCTTCGAAGATTCTGGGTTATAAATGGAGTTGTCAATTAATTTAATTTTTTTTTACCAGAATAATCACATGCTTACGCTGTAATTTATCATGATCGGTCTTTACGTTTAACTTTGTAAGCTTGAAATGTACATATGCACATTTTTATGAGGGGGGTGTAAAAGTGAGACTTTTAGACATCTCTGCTTATCTTTTCACTACCGTTTGCAACTCTGCGCTGTTGAACGCAGCACAACACCATGTAATGGGCTTGACACAGGGGAGGCAATGTCGCTCCCTCTTCGTTCATTACATGTGAAACTTTCGCAATGAGGCAACATTCACTTGACCTCATCCAGCCAAGCAACCAGCAAAATTTGTGCGTGTGAAATTTTAAGCTTAGACACATAGACATGTACATGCAGGCCAGCGATGCAACACAAGAAAGTTGAAAGATATTCAACTTTTGTTGTTGTCGCTGCTGTCACTATTGTGCCCCATGGGGTAGGTTCACTGCAAGTGATGAAAAACTTTCAACTATCCTATCGCTTTTCTTTGCTCCCAATGTGTTGTGCCCGTAAAGTCCTGCTGTGAACTACAGGTAACCCCCTGCTTGAGAGAGGCTTTGAGGTCAAAATAGATCATTCGCTTAATCTGCATTAAGTCATATTAGTGCGTCAAACAGATTAATTGCATGTGCTAATGTTAACAGCCCTGATTATAAAGCAATATCTCGTGCTCTGTACAAAGTCATGGACCCCGCAAACATAAAGACGCTCTCAAGCATTAGTGTTTCCACAAGCCATGTGGGGAACAACAAATGCAAATGTGGGTGGAAGTGCTAAATGAAACCAATATTGCACATTTTTAGCTTTTCAGGCCTTTTGCCATGCAAAGCACAATGTGAGATAGTAAACTTACACAATAAACACTACACCTAAAACCTGATGACAACATGTGGGGATGCTTTTTTTTTTCTTTTTTTTTTAAACAGGAAAGAAAAGATGGTCAGACACAATGAGAAGAGGCATGGAGACAGTACAAGGCAGTTCTAAAAACAGCTTTTAAGAGGCTGCAAAAAACAAAACTGGATGCTCATCTACCAGCAGGACATCAGCATGCGAGAGGGCTTGACAATGGATGTTTACAGACCCATTCCATCCATCCGTCCTTCCATTTTCTGTACACCTTTGTCCCTAGCAGGGTCAGGAGGGGTGCTGGTGCCCATCTCCAGCAAACATTTGTTTACAGACCCCCTCCATCCAATTTGATCCAATGGTTTTGCAAATAATATAATGCAAAAGCATTTTTCTATAAATTCATAAATGAAGTGAAAGGTACACGATTCACTGAGATTTATATTAGCAAACGCTTTTAAAAACCATTTCTACTTTTCCTTACACTTCACAATTATGTTCAAATTTGTATTGGTTTAGGATATAAACTCAGAATAAAAAAAATAAAAAAAACACATACACCTTTGTTTTTGTGAAGTAAAATGTGAACAAACTGAAAGGTTTGCTAATTTTGCAAACACCATATACCAGTCAAATAACTTTAAGGCAAAAAGTTGACTTTTTAAGCATTTTTTTGCAACAAAAAGCAAAAGTTCTTGTTACATTTTCAGCTCATATTGAAGCAGCACTACTAGAAATATTTAAATTATATAACAGGGTTCAAACACTTCCATTTGGATGCTATCAATTACCCTCTTTATTCCTCAATTCCATTCTTTTAAATATTAATATGATTCCGTAATGAGGTTGAGTGGTCGGAATCACTCACTGTCCCTCAAGGCAGCTACACAGTGGACGAGAGCACAGACCTCGCTTGATGAATAAAACCATCCCATTAAGCTACAATTCACCCCTCGCACATGGCTCTGTGGAAGTTTTGTCTTGCTCTTTGTCACAGGGAGCTAAATAAAAGGGACTCAAATTCAGTCTGCAGGTGCCTCTTCTAATAACTACATTCCTCACCTGGTGTCTTAAAGCTGCATGCTGCTAGGCTGGGTATAACAAATTACAATAGGTTTATGTGCGTGTGCATGGGCACATGTCATGTGATGGTGTGTGTGTGTTGTCCTTGCTGTCTGTGGTAATGGTTCTCAGCTGCATGGTATAATATGTAAAAAAAAAAAAAAAAAAAGAATGAAACAAACAATTATGCAAAGTATATCCTTTATTTCTTCTTTGATGAGCTTAATAAACAGTTTTTCATGGCCACAAATGAACTGCGTGATCAATTCTACGGGGTCACCAGTTTACAGGCAAAGGAGGACCTCTCAATTACTGCCTGATGAGGCCTGAAAAGAGACAGCACTTGCCGGAGTGCGCAGAATGAGAAATGAGACGCCTAAGATCACTGAAATTGTTACATTTCAAAAAGCAATTTTCTTAAATTGCTGAACAAGTTACTAAAATCAGACATGCAATTAGGATCTGATTTTGGAGAGAGGGAATTAAAGGGAGCAGCTCCACTCTCAGCTCTGTCTGGGGGTACGGGCGACCGTTGCTCATCTCCACGGCGCAGCGTTTATGCGCGGGACCCCGTATCATGCAACTCGCACGATCTAATTAGCTCTCAACAAATGGATGAACACTCGTTTTGAAATACAGCTATGTAAAAAAAAAAAAAAAAAAGGCAGGAGATAACTAGGGCTGCTGTTATTGTCGCTTTTATCGACAGCCGCCCCCCCACCACCCGTTTTTTGAAAATGAGAATCCGCCGGTCTGAATCATCACTACATAGACAGTCAGCTAATACGCTATGAAATGAACACCACTTTATCACAGGCGAGCAAATGAATCATGCAGCAAACAGAGCTTTTGACGAGAGCTCATATTATTTCACACATAATACTATAATACTAGCTGCTTGATGCTCCTTGTAACAGTGTATTAGGCACTGATCCCTTCTCGGAGCTGCACTGACCTTTCACTGAGCAACTTAATATAACATTCTTCAAACAAATTAAGCAACAGCAGATTTTGCTTCTTGCAAATTCAATAATCACAAGGAACATGTCCAAATAAAATGAGATTACATGCACAAACACACTGCATGAGGGGTATGCACACTTTGTCATACAGGCAGGCAAATTCATTCAGCGACACATGTGCACGCACACACACACACGCACGCACACACACACACACACGCATAAGCAGACACAAGAGGAAACCAGTGAACCGTGAAACATCTTCATCCATCTCTGTTCCCATGGCAACAAGTGAAATCATATTCCTTTTACAACTTTGTTCTCTGTTCAAAAATGTAACCATCTGCTAAAAACATATAGTCGCGCAGAAAAGTTATGTGATGAATATTTTAGAGGGCTTTGCTAGCGGCTACAGGCATTATGGTCCCTGGCCAACGTCTTCCTTCCAGGCAGAAAACAGCCACATCCTCCCCCCACTGTGGATGATGCTGAGGGGGACGTTTTATTCAGGAGAGTCCTGGCTGCTCACACTCCTTGTACCACTATGTTTTCTATAACAGGAACATAACATAACAGGACAGTAGATTTATAGCTTAGTTGTCTTTCTTTCCCTCCTTTTCGAGGAAAAATGGTTCATGCAGTTTCTGTTTTGTTTCAGGTTTTTATCTTGGCTTGCTTTTTTGTTGGCTCGCGTTTCAGATATTTTCCTGAAATGACCGATATAAAAAAAAACAAAAAGAAGCATTAATATGCACATCTCAAAGCAAAAGACTTTTCATATCCTTGCACAGTTCTGTAAAACAAAGTCACAGATTGCAAATACGGCAATATATGTGGTTGCAATCTTATTTAAAGAATAAAAACTGAAGAAATAATGACTTTTTTTATTATTTTAAAATAAGTAAAAATTTAAATGGCACCATGAAATGTAAAAAAAGTAGTTGTCCACTGTTTTGTTTGGTTTTAAGTTAATGTGTTCATAGTGAACTTTTTTTTTAAATACGTTAAATAATAAGGGCCTAATCATCAGTCCTAAAGATAATAAAATATTAAGTGTACTTAATGTTACTGTAGTAGCTAAAAATATGGTTAACACACGTTTCTTCTGAGAAGAAGAAACTGGAATACAGGACAAAATAACAAATGTCTGCCCTATAAGTATGTGCTCATATGGCAGATATTAAGAATTACCACAGAAGAAACTAAACACTACCTCAGACCTGATGTCATGATTTCACTTCTCAAGTATCACATCAAAATATTGCTACAGCGTTGCCTGGTTACCTGTCCACAAAGAATACAGGTCCATTTAGACTTCGGGTCGGAGAAGAAGTAATAATCCCTCTCATTTTTGTGTTAGTTTTCTTTAAATTTTGAGTTTAAATTTCTTCTCTCGTTTGGCTGTGTGGTACATAATGTGCTCCGGCCTGAGCCAACGATGGATGTACGTTACAGGGGCCAAAACAGACTTTGGTCTGGGAATCCAGCTGTGACTGAGATGATCAATTGCCAGACACTAAAGCACACAAAGCTGCTTAAACATATTTTAATACTAGCTAGTGTATCACAGAGCTCCCATGGTGACTTTAAGTGGGCATGTCACTATCCACTTAAAGTCTGCTGGCTGAAAGAAAAAAAAAGTTTTACACTTTTTCAAATTAGGCCAGCAAATATCTATGTCATTTCATTACTTTCATTTGCTGTTGGCAAGTGACTGAATGTTTGTGAAGCAGCCTGGCTACCTCAGTTGGATGAACAGACAAGCCAACCAGGTAATGCGTTTAGTTTACCTGGTTTGTTATCGTTATGGCTTTTAATGTGTCTCTATGAAACAAACTGGAGAAGCTGATTGCAGTGACAGAAAGCAAATCCTAACACATGATAAGTTTAAAATGTGTAATTAGGATCCAGCTGTTTTGTATTTCAGTTCATTCTGAAGGGCTCTTCTTCTTCCTACTGTTGGTTTTGTAAGATGAGGTATAAGCATAAAAAAAAAAAAAAAAAAAAAAAAAAAAACCTCCGCATCGAAACACATATGTAACGCTGGTCCACTTTGGGTTTGTATCTATAATCATAGCAATTTTTTTTTTTCCCCAAAAAAAGTCACCTCTTTGTGTTCCTTTTTAAATATAATCAAGTGAATTTACTGCAGCAAGAGCACAAAAAAAAAAAAAAAAGAAACCCTTCAGACAAAGCATGGGTCTGTGCTCATTTCCAGTCTGGAGCAGTGCCAAGAGCTTCTTCACAAGGGTTGAAACCCCATTGTGTAGCAGTGGGTTCACACTTAGTGCAATACATAACAGGTGGACAGATAAATGAAAAAGGAACAAGTGAACAGGTTTATTACCCACAACAGCATCCAATCCATAAAAGTCAGCATTAATAGCCACGCTGGTCATTTAATAATTTAGCCACAATGAGGCCAGTTTAGTACAGCTGAAGCACGCTGTTAGAAAGTTGCCCATTTTGTTTTAGCGATGCATCATACAACGGAGCTGCATTATTCACTCAGTGGTCCGTCTCCTTCGCCTGTCAAGATTAACATTTTACAAAGAGTTAATTATCCACGTAAATCTAGATTATAATGTAAGTACGAGTGTACCAACAGCAACAGTTTGCAAAGCATATGCAGGAAGTCTGAGGCGTTCTGCTGACCTTGTGTCGAACATTACTCTGGAGGGCTGAAACCCTTACGCACCAGATGGGGTGGGGCGACGCTAACCGTTTTCAGAAAGACGTGAGAGTCATGCTTAAGCAACTCTGTTCAACACCACAGCTAAAAAAAAAACAACTTCAGTCTGACTGACCACTTAGAGGAAGCTGCAGATTTCCAGGAGTGATACTTGCTGTGTAACAAATATTACCTTGAATGTATTTTTCTGTATTTCTGGAATGGGGGCACATCTTACAGAAAAGTGACTAACTGAAAAAGTTTGATACGGAGCCACTTGTTGAGATTGACTCATCAGCTCAAACTTACCATGCGTTGAAAAAAGTATTTGTACATATTAAAAAAAGAAGATCAATCAATTTGAATTGAGATTTTATGTAGTAGACTATCACATTATTTGTGCATAATTGTGCAATGAAATCAGCGTACCTACATGTTATTCACTAACCCTCCCTTAAAAAGCCTTAAAAAGTATCCTAACTAGTACAACTCTAAACGTGTAGCCGCATCTACCAAGGGATGATTTAAATCAAATATTTTTTTTCTTTTTTGGCTAGAAATATCCTAGCCAATGGCTAGAATGTCCTAGCCAAAACCCATACCGAAATCCAAATATGGATCTGTGTGCAACTTCGGTAGATGCTGCAGCTGTCACAGCAGTGAAACATGGTTATGCAAATGCTTTACCTGGGCTGGTCATTAGAAAGCAAATTTCACTTGGTAGATTTCACTTAAAATATTTTAGTTCACTTCACAATTATGCAGAACTTTGTGTTGGTCTACCGCATAAAGTCCCAAAGAAACACGAGTTAGCTCATATTTGCGATGTAACGAAATGAAAAAAAGCTCAGAGGTGTGAATGCTATTGCAGAACACTGCATATTGTAGAGAACAAAATAATTTGGGGATGTTCAACAGTTTAAAAGAGCCACATTAGTGACAGACAGCAGTGTTAAGACTGACATCTGCTGGGAGAGGAGAAACAGTAGCCACATGTACCTGAGGAGAGCCCTTCAATGACTCACACAAACATTGAAATTTCTTCCAATGAAAAATGGTTAACATACACACGTCCTTGCCATAAAGCCATTTAAAACTTACAGAAGTTATACACAACGGCATCTCTGGATTGGGGGACATTATAAGTTGTGGTGGGCACAGGATTTTTGGCTTAAACACAAACACTGCATCTATCCTCCCCTCATCGACTGCATCCTGAGGCTTAGAGAAAACTTAAAAGTAAATCTCACCCCTTCCCTCCCCCCCACCCCCCAGCTCTGGAGGGCGGAGGTGGTGGTAATGTTAGGGGTGGGGGAGAGAGGGGATAAATCATTTGGCACTTGAGGCCCCATGAGGAGACCAACTTTGCCTGTAAAATAATCACAAATACAAGCGAAAGTGTTCCATTTTGAACAGCATGCCTCCTAATGTAAAAGTGGCAGGTGGCATATTTCAAGTGGGCTTTGATTGATCCCCAGCTGTTTGTAAAATTGTCTGGCGTCACAGAATTCAGGTCAGAGCGATAAGCATTGTGGGCACTCCCTCTGCGAGTGCTGTTCACATGTTCGTGTTCATGTTTGGGCGTCTGTGTGGCACGACGAGCAGCCACGGCGACGGAGGAACCGGCTGCAAACCGGCTCTGTGGACAGAGGGAACCTCAAGAGCAAAAAATGATTCGTGCTTAAAGTTGCTAACCTAAACATGTCCTCATTGGTTTTAATTTGTCATTTCTGTTAGGAAGAAAAAGAAAAAACATTTTTAACTTTGTTGAAGTTAATCTACTTGTAAAAGCACGTTTTTTTGTTGTTGTTTTTTTGTTTTGTCTCGTTTTAGATACAGCCTCAGAAGGTGTTAAGGGACTTTTAAAAACTAAAACATAAGCAATCTTAGAAAAGCATTTTTAAATCTGTTATTTATTTATACATTTTTAATTTTTACTTATCTTGATTTTTTATTAAGACGTTATTTTGAAATGTTCTTTTATGTGTGTGTTTTTTTTTTTTGTATTATTATTATTATTTTTTTTCACATAAAGGGATTTTATCTATTTATTTATTTAAATTTATTCTCGCCAGTCCAGGAAATGTATTTTCCAACAAGCGAAAGAAAGGAGGACAAAAAAATACAACCACTAGAGCAGTTACACAGTTCTAATTGGACTCTTAATCTAGCAAAAGAGACATTCAATAGTGAATTAGTGATTTTTCTTGTTCTCCTTTCCAAGAGAAATATATGCAAATCTCAGTGACAAAGGACGCGGTTCTTTTCCCTCTGCGTGGCAGAGAAGCAGTGGCCAGCGTAAAGCCCCCCACATTCCAGTGAGGCCTCTTGGATCAAAACCCGTAATGAATACATGAGGATGTCCTTTGGTAAAAAAGATTTCTTTCTTCTACAAGCCAGAGTCTTGATCACGACTTTCACTGTGTTTTTTTTTTTTTGTTTTTTTTAAAGCCCCAACCAGGGTATGACTTTAGAGGAGTAGAAACAGACAACTCCAGCTCCTTTTTTTTCTGTTTAAAAAAAAAAAAAACAGGAAAGATGACAAGTCAACATGCTTGTCACGGAGGCTGACAGGTGTCTTGAGTTGAAAAGAAGGAAGTGTATATTTCTAGGAGGTACAAGATGCAAACTTTACATCCAAAACACTCCAATAATTTACCTTGTAAAGTTGACATTTGTTTTTCTCTCGCAGACGCTGCTGCAGCTATGGCTATTGATAAACATGCATTGCCTGATATTTAATGACACACCATCAAAACACTCTGTTGTAGGCATTTGAAATCCATCTATTTTCATTTTGAGGGTCTGCCTGGCACAGTCTAAATGTGGTTAACTACCAGAGGCAGAGTTAATCCTTTTATCTAGATCCCTGCTGCAGGGGATCCCAAACACACTCTGATTAAAAAAGGAAACGTGGGCAATGAACAGTTTAAGAATCATGGGCCCTAAACAGATAAAGGCGGAACATCTTGTTGCTATGGCAGTGCATATGGAATGACTGGCGACAATTCTCACCCCCCGTCTAATATATTCACATTATTTATGAAATATTTTATAAGTAGCATTGCAAATGCTAAATATAAATCCAAGGAGATGCTTGGCGCCTTTTTTCCTGCTGGAGTTTGGGGAATGCCAGAGCCTGGGTTAGACAGTTTGTGGAAATGCTGGGTTTTACGCCACGGTTTTCCTATTCCTGGATACAAACGAGCAAAACAAACAAAAATATGAAAGTAATAGAAGTTGATTTACTCAATCCAAATGAAGGTATTAATACCAGCAATTTTAAAAAAGTCCAAAAAAATGCTGATATGTATATTAATTGGGCTAAGAAAAAAAAATAACACATTGTACTTTTAACATTTCAATATCTTTTGCTCGGTTGATGACAACAATACTACATGAAGAAAAAAAAAGAATCTATATTCAACACAATAAGGAATTAAAATAAAAATGTAAATCAACCATTATCTTTCAAAAGTAAGAGAAAATTATTCCACCTTAAAATATGCTTAAAGATACACCAAGAACAGGACATGTCCCCACCTTCCCTTGCTATACGGGAGAGCAGGACAACAGCACTGCTATTTCTCCTGTCAATACTCTCCCAGCATCCATTTTCACCTGGCTGACACCTTTTACTGGTCAAGGGATGAATAAATCACACTTAGTGTACTCCCCTGGTAGCTTGACTAAAAAAAGGATATCAACATGAAGGAGGACTGCAGCGTTTCGCTGTCATCGCCGCCCCTGAGGTGCCCTGAAAAATTACCACCGATAAAATATCATTTTTCAAAAAGCCCTTATTGCTCTTTTAATCTATCCGCCACAATGGATGGCTTCTGGGATGTGTTTCTTTTCATCTGAACACAAACAATCTTTCAAAGGGCTTAATAACAGTTACACAAATGAGAGTCATTAATTACCTGCTAATGGAATAATAGATGCGCCATCGAGGGTGCAGCCATTCCACAAGAAAGGTGTGGGGCTTGAAAAAAATACATAAAAATAATAATAATTATCTGGGACTCCACATGTCTTTCAGCTTCATTAGTGCTCCAGCACCAGCACCTTCATGCAAATACATGCACAAAAATATGCTGATCATATTCTCTCTGATTCTGGTTATCTGTTTACATAATGATAGGAAAATTCGCAAGAGGGAATCACTACAGCTGCACAAAAAAAAAAAAGCCAAGGTAAAGGAAAAATGCAAAAAATAATAATAATAAAAAAAAGGGGGCACACTCCGAATCTTATTTCTAAGTAATGTTTCAGGCTTGTTTTTGTGTTTTCTCCATATTAATTTATTTTGTTCAAAAACTTGCCACAGCATGTAATTGCCTCTTAAATGCATTCCAAGCATTAATCTAAATAAATTACTGCACTTGAGCTGGGGAAAAAAATAAAAAATAGGAAAAAAAAAAAAGAGGGAATTTTTTTCTTTTTTTTTTTTCACAAGAGCAACAAATTCTGCGACCATGGGCAAAAGACTTCCTCTCCCCCTTTCATTATCAAATCAGATTTGACTGATGTGACACAGTCGCGGTGGAAAATCTCATTCGTCTTCCAGCAGGTTCGAAAAAACTAACACGCGGTTATTTTTCACCCTAATCTTACTGATAAAACTAACAAATAGAGATGGATTTAGTGGGGGGGAGAAAAGAAGTAGTTAATGAATGATGAATTAGAGGCGAGAGGAAACATCATAAATTCTGACAAGGCGCTGTTGTCTGCTGGATGATAAACAGCACCGCTGGATGGAATCTGTCTCTCTGTGTGTATCTCTCAGACGCCGGCTGCCACTTTATCTCCTCCATCGTGCTAGATTACACCTCCAGGGTTCAGGTGGGAATCAATCATTGCTATTATTACCTGAATGCACGAGATGCATCTATCACTACTAAGGTTACCATAACCTCAATATTAACAGAGGAAAAGCCCCCTCTAATAAACAGCAGAAAGGATGGGCTGGCTGGTGGGATTTCATCTTCCTTTCACTTTTAATAAGGCACTCAGAGGAATAAAGATTACAGGCCATATTTAGCATGCAGAACAAATCAGGCTCTTCCAGGCTCTTCCTCTCCTCCACTTCTCATTCTGGTTAGTCATTAAGACTGAGGAGAAAGAGAAAGGGGGGAGGCGGCGGGGGTTGTTCTAGCACTGGAGAGGCGTTCCCTGATTCAACTGTCTTTATGGTCTAGAACGGCCTGCAGCTGCCGTTAATAAGATTCTTTCGAGGCCCGAAAACTTCAGTTAGCGGCGAGTCGGACCACTGACTCTCTCTCTCTCGGGTCGAAGGCGTACGACCAGCCAGCGGATCCGGCCGAGGCAGAGCGGGAAGAAGTCCCGGGGACACAGCGCACCCCCGTTAATGTTCATCCGCTCTTATAAGCCACCATTACACAATGATGTCTCTGTAAAACAAGATGCAGAAAGAAAGTGAGCATCGGAGCAAAAGAAACGCTAAGCTTCTTTTTGAGGATTAATGGAATTTAGTCAAGTAGCAGTCTGCGAGTGCATCAGAGCAGCTAACGCGGGGTCACGGCACTGCCGAGTGTTTTCACGCACGCCCCGCTGACATGAATCATTCATTGCCATTCAAATGAATATCATCAGCTGAATGAAATATCATTAAGCACAGCTAAAGTTGTCCCATAATAATATACCTCCAATTAAACTATGATCAGAGCGTCAGGCCTGATAATAGATTCATACCAATTAAGTTAGAAATATATTCAAAGGACTTTTCACTTTGAAACCGGTCTTGTTATTCCTCTTGACATTCAACAACACGACTCATTACAGTGGCTCCAAAACTGGAAATGGAGAGACCATGTAAATATTTAAAACCCTCACAAATATATAAATATTCATTCCAGAATGATTTGATGCACTAAATAAATAATCCAGTGTTAAAAAAAAAACACCCTAAATAAAACTTAAAAAAAAAAAAAAAAAAAAAGGATCTGGGGAAATGAAGATGAGATGAATCAGAGGGGAGGATTCTGGCAAGAAATGAGCGAGGGGAAAATGTCAGCTATCACTCCACCCCTCTTGAATACCTAATGGCAGCCATGCAAATGACGTGGGCTAATTAAAGCCCGGCAGTCAATTAAAGAAGTTTTAGCTTAAACTTTGAGAAGGGTGCTAAAATTGAGTGCCTTCTATTTTTCGTTCTTAGATTTTCTTTTGCAAGGTTTTGGAGAAAGTATGACTGCAAGAAGAGTGAAACAAATATATAAATGATAATAAAAAAAAACTTAACTGGCTCTAATCAATAATCAGTCTGAGATCATAATAAGCCAAATTGTTTTATTGATTTATTCTGACCAGTGATCAAGGATCTTTTTTTTTTGTTTGTTTGTTTTGTGTTTCTTGGAAGGCTTTGCTGATGGACATTTTAAATTCAGTGAAAATAAGATGAAGTCAGTTGAACAAGTATTAGTTCAAACTTTAGAAAGTGCTGATATTCAGCACCCTTATTTTTATGTTGCAGAAAGACATAATATATATATATATATATATATATATATATATATATATATATATATATATATATATATATATATATATATATATATATATATAAACAAGTTAGTCAATTTCGATAGATTCACTGATGACTTGCACAGAAATTAAACTGGTCATTTTTTCTTAATTGTGATGAGTGATCAACTGGTCAAACAGTTTTTCTTTCTTATCATGATGTATAAAAGCCAAAGAACTCTCAAAATGTTCATTCTGTACATGCATGAACCAACGTCATGCACACTGATGCTTTTCTTTTTAGTTTTGTAAATTCAGCTCTGCAAGCTTTATTTTAAACTGTGATCAAGGTGTTGAAATTAAGCATCCTCTGATCTTATTTTTGTTATTTCATTTGAAAGGTGAAGAAGGATGTGCAGAAAGCAACTATAAAAGAACATTCTAATTAAACTAAACTAATTTCTCCACCAAAAAGCTGCAAGAGATTTCTTTTTATTTTTGATAGTCCTTACCAAAGTAGAAAATGGACTCAGTCACAAAGTAAGCAGATAAGACCGAAAAGAAAACAAAAGCATAAATTTGTATTTGCACGAATCAGTTCCTCTCTTGTACTTGCAATTAAATAATTGTGAATTCCTTCAAAAAACTCTGCTAACGAGTTAAATATGGAGAAATACTACTGCAAGGGTTGTTTTTTTTATATATATATATATATATTTTTAATATCACATTGTCTGTTCTGTGAAGTCACTGCTTGTGAAAAAATACTGCTTTAGCCCAAACACTGACCTCCACTGATAGATGTTTGGTCCTACAGGTCTCTGTTCTCTCTCCACAGCGGCGAGGACGTAATCTGAGGTGTTGGCTGGCCTACTCTGCGTCCAATTTGACTGCCTCTTCCAGCCTTCCGGCTCTCCGGAGAGCTGGGCCCTTTATGCAGCCGGCGCCTGTCCTATCACACACTGAGCTGCAGGAACAGTGCTTTTGTGATGGCTGTGATTAGTCTTTTGTGTTCCCAGGTAGAATTAAGATGAAATTCTACAGGCAGTCATTGTG